TCGAGGGGCGGGGGGGGGGGGGGGAGTGTAATACTACTATAATGGCTAGATGCCCAGGTCAGTGAAGGTTAATTTAAGACTAATTTACATACGCAAACATTTTTTATAGATTTCTATTTGGTAAACCTATAGGAAAAACCTATGCTCCTTGTCTCCAGCTAGTGGCCACAATGCAGTGCAATTCTAAATGTCAGATGTTCAGCGTGAACAGCTCTGCAAACGTATTATAAATACACACCCAGGTGTGAACATGACACTTTTATTGTTCTCATTTTGATCATGTGAGGTCAGGAAAATTGGTTAATGCATTTATAACTTCCTACCATAATGCGACACAAAATAAATTTTTGGACTTTACAAATTGTTAACTGCGCATATCCATATACAAGGTTATAAAAACAAAAAATCAATATAAAAAACGTTATTTAAAACCTACATACTGTAGGTTCTACACTTCTGATACACAAGTTTGACTTCCAGAACATGTTTATTCAATGGTTGTATGCAACATCCTGGATCTTTATGCAACCAATAAAAAATCAAGAAACATTTTGTCCTGACACTGAAGTTGCTACAAACAAAACCACGGTTATGTCTTTCTTCTGATAAATACTTGAGTCCCAGTGGTCTTCAATGCTTTTGTATTTTTGAGAAGTACCAGAATATTTATGAGTAACAGGATTCAAGATATAAAATACAATTTGAGGAATGTACAATCCACAGGAGTTTAAAAGGAAAATCTGATTTATTCACAAAAAATACTTTTACCGTCAAAAGCAACCCCATAATGTACAGTATATTACAATGATCGCGTCCGTAGCAGCATTTCTATATACAGCAGATATGTTCCAGTCTTGTCAAAAGTTCAGCTTTTTTACAATGTCTTCTGAAAGATAAAACAAAACAGCATTTAACTTGTAAACCAAAATGAGCATCATGCTAAGGACACAATTATATGGTAGGTCTCATGCCATCTGTCAGCCTGTAGGCGATGGTCATCAGTCAGTTCAAGTTACAAAGACATTTCTCAAAAATGTCCTACTACTGGTGACCTGTGATAAATGAGAGGTGAAGGGAAGCATGGCTACAATCAAGACTATTTTCAAACCCCTTTCATAAACCATTAACCAGTAATGTCTGCAATGATCACACAATAGAAACTCTCCAACTCGGTTAGAAGATTCTTGTTAGGCGGTCTACTAGCTGTCGAAGACCGGCACAAAGGAAAGACAACCAAGATTATCAAGTTACCAATACCAATAGTATGTAAACAATAACAATGGACTTCTCTTATTTGCCCTTTTTTGGTCTGTTAAATATACCATTGCAAATGTTTTATTTTATCAGTTTCATAAAAGGGACAAATACCATCAAATCTTGTTAGCTGATAATTTCCTGTGCTCTCTGCCTGTGCGGACTGTTATCAATTACAGCTATCTCGGAGGACCCCTTAACGTTATGGAGAAGAGGAAAGTGGGCTGGATCTTCTAGTCCTATCCAGTTTCCTGTTGTGTGATACAGTACGGTGAGTGACTGTTGTCACCCTAGGACAGGATGGGTATTACTGGCAAAATCACCAGGTAAAAATAAATAAAGCCAATTCAGCCTCCCGATCCAAGGACTATTAAGCTGCAAAATATTAGATTTTTGGGTTTAGATACACTTTAAAGTTGGCAGGCACCAATACTAGTATTGGTGCCGATACCGAGTATTTTACATAGTTACATAGTATTTGGGGGTGAATAAAGACATACGTCCATCAAGTCCAACCCATATAGGTCCACGCATCATCTCATTCTTAGGGATACTGGTATCCCTGGATATTACAGTCCCTCAAGAAATTGTCCAAACGTTTGTTTTGTCCAATGGAGTATTTGATTCCGAGTCAATTGGCATTGAGTCGGCATGGAGCAGGCTTCCCAGCCAATCAGGAAGCAGGTAATGACCCACCTCCTGATTGGTCGTGAAGCCGTCTTTCCAGCCAATCAGCATTGAGCCGGCTTCCCGGCCAATCAGCATTAAGCCGGCCAAATGACATGGAGCAGGCTTCCCGGCCAATCAGGAAGCCGGCGGCAGGTAGCAAGTATAGCTGATAGACAAAGCAGCCACTATTAAGGAGAATGATACTTGCATCCCACAAAGACTCTGCTCCAAGTAGTTGAAGTGGCAAGTAAGCACGGCAACAGTGGGAATGGTGATCACCTGCAACTAAATAAAGTTTGGAAAAAACTTACTTTGCTCTGCACCTTCCACTCTCTTCCTCTTTATTCCTAGAGTAAGGTTTTGTTGTTCTTTTAATGCCTCTATGGAACAGTTTGGTCTTGGCAGCAAATGTCCAGCTGTTGGTGCTGGTCTATTACTAAAATATTTTTTCCTTAGTGCCTATAGGAAAAAACAAAACAAAAAAGGTGAATATATTTGTAAGAAAGCCGAGATATCTGCAGTAGAAGAAAAGTAAGTTTGCATATAGCAACCTTTATATATGTCTAAAAGATTCCCCAGACAAGGAAGACAACTGCCTGAAGAGTTATCCAGCAAAAGACTGGCATACATGAAGACGTGGCTGCATATCTCTTTCTGCAGAATATTTATAAAGCTTCAGTATTTTCACACAACTCATTATTTGCTGTATATTTTATATTGTAAAGCAGAAGAGCAAAACTGATACTTCCTATATAAATTTACATTTATAACAGACATGTTATGACTACACAAGCTTAACATTCGAAAAACCAAAATGACATACTTTTACAAAAGCATTCTGATGCTCCATCTAAATCCCCACAATGCACTGCAAATCTGCTCTTCAAACCTTTTATAAATAGTTGAATAAAAAAAAAAAAAAAAATGGGAGGAGATAATGGTCAAATAGTTGAAAATGTTTGAGTCAATGCTCAGGACTTACTTGTGAGGCTGTGTACCGTGCACAGGGATTGAATGTGAATAAGCCCTGTAAAAGTTCTAGCAGGTCATCTCCTGCAGCAGTGAATATCTGATCAAGTGGTGTTCCCGGAAAGCTTTTAAAGGTAACGTAGTCTGGTAGGTTGGACATGCCCTGCATAAAAATAAAAAAAAAGACACAATCTTCACTTTAACATTGTAATAAAATGCAATCAGAGACAAAACACAGAAGTTACTTAGTAAAGCATTGCTCAGTTCATTGCATAGTTTAAGACTGGGTTCACACCTGGGCGCTTTTCAGCGCTGAAAAACGCTCAGCAAGTGAAATCCTATTGAGTGCAATGGACATGGTTCCCACCTGGGCGTATTTCAGCGCAATTTGTCGCGCTGAAAAACGCCCCACGCCCAAAATAGTACAGGAGCTTCTTTGAGGCGTATTTCAGCGCGTATCCATTGGTATTCCCGAGTGTGGCTCGGGGGTAACAAAGAGGGAACCCCGACCCCCACACGGGAATCCC